ATCAACATATAATTATTTTTGTGCAGAGATACAATTTTTTATTCACTTGCTACACACTGAACATATCATTTCATGGCACATAATATAGAACTGTGGATACTAATCCTTAAATATGAGACATTCACAGTGGTCCTCTAAGACAGGTTGCTCCTTCTAGAACTTTTTTTATAATGAAATGTCATAAGCACCCTCTCAATTAAAAAACCCTCTCAATTCCTTTTGTATGATGAAATATTTGTGACAAGAAAATACTTGTTTTGGCATTCACAAATTAGTATGCTTTACTCCCTTGAAAATTAGGACCATGGGGTTTTTTTTGTTTCATTTTTTAATCTTATATTTTTTTTAATTTATTTTTTTATTTTTATATTCCCTATACAATTGCAACCCCCTGATTTTAACCTCTATCCCTTCTTTCCCCGCCCCTCCCAAGTGTGTCTCTGGTTCATAGTTGTTTGTTGATTTTGATTTTTTTCTTTCTTGTATTTATTCTTTTTCCCGGTCCCTTATTTAGGTTTTCTAGATTCCTGCTACGAGTGAGACCATCCGGTATTTTTCTTTTTCTTTCTGGCTTATTTCGCTGAGCATGATCCCTTCCAGCTCCATCCATGTTGCTGCAAATTGCATGTGTTTATCTTTTTTGAATGCTGAGTAATATTCCATTGTGTATATGTACCACATCTTCTTGATCCAGTCATCTATTTTTGGGCATTTGGGTTGTTTCCAAAGGTTAGCTATTGTAAATTGTGCTGCTACAAACAGGGGTGCAGGTGCTCTTTGGAATTAACATTTCTGTGTCCTTTGGGTAAATACCTAGGAGTGGAATTGCTGGATCATATGGAAGCTCTATCTTTAGTAGGTTGAGGAATCTCCACACAGCTCTCCATAGTGGTTGGACCAGTTTGCACTCCCACCAGCAGTGCAGGAGAGTTCTTTTCTCTCCACATCCTCGCCAACATTTGTTGTTGCTAGTTTTTTTAATATGTGCCATTCTCACTGGTGTGAGATAGTATCTCATTGTAGTTTTGATTTGCATTTCCCTGATTACAAGTGATGTTGAACATTTTTCATATGTCTGGTGGCCATTTGTATTTCCTTTTGGAGAAGTTTCTTTTTAGCTCTTTTGCCCATTTTTTGACTGGATTATTTTCTTTGCTTTTGTTGAGTCTCATCAGCTCTTTGTAGATTTTTGTGATGAGTCCTTTATTGTTAGTGTTGGGTGCATAGAACCATGGTTTTAAGAAAAGTTTCAAATTACATGAAAATTGTGTATGATGATTTTCTCAATTTCTCTTAAGACTGTTTTGGAACATTGGATAACGATTGTAAAGTTGGATCAAAGAGGACTTATGGAGGTGAAATGCATTTTTCTTTCCCCCAGGCTTAGGATGGGCTGTTTCCACATGTTAAGTGAAACAAGATCTTGACTGATGCAGTCTGTTTCAAAAAAAACAGGTCAAGGTTTCCTGACATTGCTCTAAGAAAAAAGAATCAGGCTGTCTTGAAAAAAAAAAAAAATTGAGATGTCAGTCTTCTCTCTTTTACATGGGAAAAATATAGCAAGTTTGTGTTTATTATCTCAGGATCTGAAGACTCACAGACACTGCAGGAGAAAACTCTATTTTAGATGCTTCTATGTCTCCAGCTCTTTCAGAGAGAACATAGAATTCTGAACTCAGATCTTGACCGGTAGGTGAATAGGATGACATGCATTCTCAATTTTCACAGGGTCACTTTCATAGCTCAGTGCCTATTGTGAAGAATACAAAACTGGACCAGAAAATCCTAGAATAGCTGTCCTTAAAATATCACTGTAAATATTCCAAGGAAAAGCTCTGCTTGTGATAGAAATTAGCAATATTAATTCAAATTGCACCAAATAAAATATATCTCACCGTAGTCTATTGTAAGTAGTGAGAACCAAGTGGATTTTAGGATGGCAATTCTGGGTCATTAAGTGCTTAGGAAATAAAAAATGCCATCTGTATTTCTTGCCACATTGTTTTCTCCAGAACAGGAGGTGTGTATTATTCACTGTTGTAGGAGCTCTAGAATGGTATCTTTCTTATAGTTGGAACTCAGCAACCATTTGTTCACTTGTTGAGTGAAAGATACTGTTGATTATACTGACAACAAACAAGTTTCAGGTCAGATTGATTAGGGTGGTGAAATATGCCATGTGGAGAAATCTGTTTAATTCCAATATCTTTATAATCTTGACTCCCAGGGACAGGCAAGGTAGACACACAGTACAGTGCACCTACTGGTCAAGATCTGAGTTCAGAATTCTATGCTCCTCCTGAAAGAGCTTGGGACATTAGAAACATCCAAAGTAGAGTTTTTCCTGCAGTGTCTACGAGTCTTCAGATACCAGGAGCTGACACTACACCATAACCCATGTCATTCTGGACTCCGTTAGCTCCTAAAAAGAGTTTGACCAAATCTGATTTTTTTTTCATAAAATTGAGTATTTTATATACTACATAGGTAGATACAATTTTTGTCTTATTACTTCTTCAATGTAACTTCCTTAAAAATCACATTTGTGTCTTGTTCTGTTACACTGAGATATTACGTGTTGTGCAGTGGACACAAATTGACTTTGGGCCAAACTACCTAGACTAGAGTTTTTTTGGCAATTACTGTGTGATCTGGGAAAGTTACTAAATGCTCAGTGTCTTGATGTCCTTATGGGAAAAATGGGAGTGGAGCATTATTATGAGGACAAAATAAGGTCAATGTATATAAAACGTTATCTAAAATAGTACTAGGAATATAGCACATTCTCAGTAAAATGTAACCATTTGACAGAAGCTGTTCATATACTGTTCAAAAGTATGGAAGAACAAACACACTTAATGAGCACCTATTTTCTGTCTTATTTATTATGATGCACATTTTGTATAAGACAGGTCTATCTTGCCTCCTATACAAGGACATCTAGAAACTATAGTGTTAATGTATCTGTTTAAGTTTCCAAAACCTGCTATAACAAATTACCATAGACTTTTACTGACTTAAAATAACATAGATTTATTCTCTGCCAATCCTGAAGGCCAGAATATGTTAGCTGCAATGTGCTTCCTTTGGGTGTATTATTTATTTTTTTGTGTGTGTAGAAGAACTGGGTGGAGGCCAGAGGTGCAGAAATCGGCCTCTGGGTGTTCTAAAGGAGCCTTCATTTCCTGTCTCCCCCAGTTTCAGGCTGGTGCCAGCATTCCTTGTAGTCCTATCAGTCCCAGCTGTCTCCATGGTCACATTGCCTTTCCCTCTGCTGTGTGAATAAAGTCTCCCTTTGTCTCTGTCTAATAAAATCCTTGTGACGTTATTTAGGTGCCAGTCAGATAACGAAGGATAATCTTCAGTGTTTGGCTGTCTCAGGTAACATTTACAGGCTCCAGGGATTAGAACATGGATATCTTTCAGGAGCAGTGTGGTTATTTCTTAGTAGCTTACCACTGCCTCCTATAAGGATTTCTTAAAGTATTAATTCCAAGACTTTCTAATGAGACTAATTACACTCATTAAACCAGTACCACAATAGACACTAAATAGTCTAAATAATGGCATAGCTCACATAAAGTATCACTAAATCATTATCCCTCTTTATTATTTTTCTTTATCCTTGTTTTTAACTGATTTAACATTTTTTTTCTGATGCCATTTAAAGCTAGATTAATCCTGGCATTCTATCATTTCATACTCCCAACAATTCTATAACGTTGACATAACTGATATTTTTATATAATAAAAGACAAAACTGATGTTTGGAAAAGGTAAGTGCCTTACCCAAAGTTGTAATTTGGAGTAGATTATGTCAGCCAATGTCTTTTTGACTTCTAAGCAATTACTCCTTACATCTTACCATAGAGACAAATTGTCTTCTTAGTGCATCTTTTTTTTTTAGTCTTTTAAAAATAATTTTTTAATATTAGAAAATTCTTTAATTATGAGTCATCATACTTAGATAAATATTACTTTGTGTGTGGAAAATGAAAAAACTAGGAGCCAGTGTTTTAAGGATTTTTTCTTTCTTTTATGACCTACTGTTTAAAACCCATAGTTTTTACAAAATATAGAATTTGCTATAGTATAACTGCAATGGAGTGATCTCAGTAAAAATCAGGCTAATGTTTTTTTTCAGCTGCCCGTGTATAAAGCAAGCTTCGCACTGACAAATGTTGCCCGGCAAGCTTGAAAGTCTAGAGAAAAATATTGGCAATTACAGAGGGATAGATGGCAAGAAACAGCTGACAAAAGAAAATAGGGTACTAGTCAATGAATAAAAATTGGCAGCCTAGTTAAAGAGAGAGACCAACTCATCATTATCTTAGTCAATTTTTATTTCCTTTATTTCACTTATTCTCTCACTGTCTTGTAATGTTTGCATATCTGGGAACTAACATAGTCATAATTGGAATTAATTCCTCTTAGTCATAGGAATGAGCTCTACCCAAGAAAATTACCTATAGAGCATACTGTAAAAATTTCTCCATGCAAAAGAGGGTGGGTGGGAGTAATGGCTTATTCTTTATACATGGATTTTTACAGTAAATTGCAGTAAAAATAAAAATAAACACATTGTGAGGTTCAGCTCATCGACCATTTTGTGAGTAAAGTGGAATTTTCTCTTTCAGAGAAATAATAGCAAATAGGTAAAAAACAACAAAATGAAGCAAAACAGGACAATAATTGTCCCAGATGGTGCCAGGATATTCTTATATCATGCATTCACTGGTGACTTTCTATTTTAAAATCCATCTAAAGATCAAGAGAGATCTAAAATAACACCTGAGCTGTCTGGTGAGAAGAGTTCTATAAATGCAAGGAATATAAATTCATTAGCTATTATAAGTGCTTTTAAAGATAAAGAAAGCTCTATACCAGTTGAACATTTCATCACAGGAATATCATCTAGTAGCTATCAGCAAGTATACTTCCTAAAATGGTTGAAAAAAGTATATTATTCAGAAAAAATGAGGCAGACATTAGTTATATAGATGCTATATTTTTTGCTAAACATGCACAAGCACATATACACAAGAGCTCAATACTACCTCCAAGTTTATTATTGTATGGATGTGTGTGTCATCTATCACCTATCAATATGCTGATTGACAAGAGTTTATTTTATATATCCTCTATAGCAAGTTGCTAGCTGAGAAAAGTGGCCCAGAGACTATCAACCTACAGTACTTACTATTAACCTACAGTGGAAAACCCAATTTAATACAACAACTGAAGTTATAGGGAAGATTCTGAGAGGTAAATCTCAGTGGTTAGGCTGTTGGTCTAAAATACCGACTATTAGCTTTTACTGCATTAAAAACCACCCCAAGTACCAGGAGTGCAAAATAACATGGTTTAGTCTGAATCTTGTCTACTTATGGGGGTGAGGGGAATCAAGATGTCTCTTACCTTATAACTGGATTATGTTCTTCCATTTTGATGATGGAAACCAAAAGAACTAGCTCCAGCACAACCACTGGAGTATATTTGAGAACTTCAGTTGTATCAAATTTGTTAAAAATGACAACTGGTAAAAGGGGGGAGACTGCGCCTAAAATTAATTGAGGATACATCTTCTTGGAAGTGGATATCCCAGGATACACCCTGAAAATAATATTTCTGAACAAGAATCCAAATTTTAGCCAATCCAAAAACTTGCTTTTTCCTTGAGCATAAAACAGCATAAAGAGTTTGCTGGTCAAGGTATTATATGGTATTGGATGCTATTTCCCAGACTGCTTTGGTTCTAGAGGAAGCCAAGGCAGTATTGTGCAGCAACCGTCACTCCTAGCCTTTGTTGCAACCTTCATTTCACCTGTCTGCCCTTAGCATGGAAGGGAAATGCCGATGACTTCTATGTGTTATGAAGGATGGCCGTGTCCTGTGGTCCCTGGGCTATGCTTCCAGAAAACCAGCAGGCAGCATTTCAGTTCTAACAGTAACCACCTTGGAAAAGATTACTACTGTGAGTACCAATATTTTCTAAATGCAAACTGAGAATAATACATCCTTGCAAGAGCAAAGTCATCTTATGAGTGATTTATCTAGCATGGTGCTTGACCCAGAGCAGGAGCTCAATTCATGTTTGTTTTCTTGGGAGTTTCAAGAATAAGCAGAATGTCTTGGGGTGAATGACTAATCCTTATTTAAAATTCCAGGAGGCTCTAAATTTTATAATAAAGTTAACTTAAGTCAGAGAAATATGTGGCTGAACTTTTAAAAAATGAAATGAATTAAACATTATTTCCAACAATGCATTATCAGATTTCATCTCCCTCAGTCCCAGAAAAAGAGTAATTTGAAACAAATGAAACCCTGGGAAAAACATTTGCCATGTGAAAAGATAGATGTAAATATGTTTTCCTTTCAAAGTAACTGGTGATTTCTATTTAGCCATGAAAACAAAATCTATTCAGGCAGACATCTTTTTAAGTTCATCATGTTGATAAAAACACCAACTATAGTATACAATTTGGCACATTTAGTCTGTCCCAGTGAATTACAGCTTTTATATGATAACTCAATGGACCTGTTGGATATTGAATAACTTACATGGTTTCCCTATTGACTCTCAATGACAAAAATTCTTATATCAGCTAAAAATACATTTACCACTAAAACATAGGAATGTTCTTTGTTGTTTTTTTCTCCCCAAACAAATTGTCTGTAAAACTAGTTTTGCTGTAAAAACTTGAAAGAAATATATCTAAACATCTAGGCCTATTAAAGTTGCAGGAGGGATGGTTGAAGCCAGACCATTGTATTTTCTTATGGGATTCCTGGCAGATGATTTATGGAGCTTTGGTCAGTGTTGTTTTTATTATTCCCCTGGTAAAAACTTACACAGGGAAACATTTCTTTCACTATCCTTAAGACTGTGAAGACTTTTGAAGAGATAAGGAAGGGTTGAGTCTCTACTCTCTTTCTCTCCTTAGCCTAGTTGTTTGGAAAAAGCAGTCCAGTAATTACTTCAGAACCACAGAGATTCTAATTGTTAAGCTAGATGTGTTAGGTAGCAGTGCATGGTTTAGAGCCAGGAATATGGAGTCAGAGATGCCAAAAACTTCTGGCTTCACCACTTGCGCAACTCACTTAACCATTTTTTTCTGGCTCAGTTGCCTCATCTGTAAACAGATGTTAGAAATACTTCTGCTGTGAAGATTAAATGAGTTACCATACACGATGGGTTAACACTAGTACCTGGCTCCCAGGATGCACCATATTCTTGCTTGCTATCATTATGTCAAGAGCATTTTTCCCGTTTTATTGTTCCATTCCTATTGTTTGAGTATGGATACTTCTGTTTTGTCAGAAGTTTGCAATTTCTTTCCTTGCCTTCTTACCTTTTGTCAATTTTTAGAAATTTCTATTCAAATTGGGGGGGGGGACAGTAAACTCTTTAATAAAAGCAGTTCATCAGTCAGGGAGAAATTTCTGAGCTATTTAGAGTAGTTAGTCTTTTTTTCCTTTGGGCAGCAAACTCATTTTGAAATTGTAAAAAGAGTTTTGAAGCTCTGGTCTTGCATCAGAATGGTTTTTGATGCATTCAATTTGCATGTTGAAAGTCGTCTTTCCAGAAACACAAAGCCATCAGTTGGGGAAAATAATCAGTTCTCCAATTCAGTGTCAGTAAAGAATTTCCTGCAGCAGGAATGAAAGACAAGCTTAGAGGATGCATCTGATAAGAAACTAAAAAAGATCAGGTTTTATTTATAATGGAATTCACAATGTATTAGGCACCTTTGGGGCATCCTCATGTTCTTTTCATTAGTTTTTCTTATGTGTTCTGTTGTACTTCATTAAGATGTCTCATCTCTCTCTTTGTGGAGAATCAAAGCAGGAATTTAAACTGCCAGGGCACGTCAGTAAGCCACCTGTTGGATAGATTCTTGCTTGATATTGTTACTGTACAAGGACAGATTGGATAAAAAAGAGAGATGGGACAATTTAAAAAACTGAGATTCTATAATTTGGGTCAAATATTAGCCTTTACAAGTTAATGTCTTAGAATGCCAATGACGTATTGGACAAGTCTTATGTTACTGATTAGAATATGGTTGGACATTTTCTTGAAGTTTGCCTTCTAGTGTCCCCTGCCCCCACAGTCAATTTGGAGGCAATTAAAAATGTACTTAAAATATCTATTATGAAGCAGCTTGTGACCTTTTGTAATGTGCAGCAGAAATATTTAATGTTTGTGAGGAAATTCCAGTTTGGCATTTCCTGTGTTTGAAGACAAAGGTTAAATGGATGTAGCTACTATAGCAGGTCAGTAGCAGCTGCCCTACTTTTTAGGACACTTCAGTGTGTATGACTTTTAAAATAAAGTCACTTATTTTGAAAAAAAAAAAAAAAACCCACAAATATTATCCCAATAAATCTGATAGAATGCAAAAATGTTCCTGTTCTTACATTTGGTGATTCCTTAAATATAGAAAGGAAACTGAAAAATAGAGCTATAGTCTTGCCATCATTGGGTACAATTCTTGTGACCTTTTCACATCTCTGAGAATGTAAATGCAGAATGAGAAGAGCAAGTTCCACCTATTCTTGAGTAACATTTAAAAATATCTTCCTCTTTCCTCCATTTTCATGGCCAGATCTTAGTCAACTTTGTCCTGGGCCCTGGAAGCATCCCTGTGTTAGCTTTTCTGCATGTGCGCTTCCATGGAGCAGCAGAAACATTGCTCTCTTAAGGGTCATTTTGACCTCTGTATTTCAGTCTAGATTTGCTTTTTTTTTTTGGGTCAGGGGAAAATCAGGTTTAATTTTTTAACTCGAAAACCGTAATAAGTCATGGAAAATAAAGGAGGAATCTACAAATTTAAATTCCCCTAATATTGGTGTGTTCCTAACATTGGGGTGTATGTGTCTCAACCTATTGCTGTGTAATGAGAGACCCCAGAACTTAGTTGCTTATAAAACAATTGCTTTATCATATCTCAAGACCCAGTGGATCAGGAATCCACACAGATCTTGCCTGGGTGATCCTTATGTTCCCTTGCTACTGACTGAGGTTACTGGGTAGCATTTAGTTAGTTTTGGTTGGAAGGTCCAAGATAGTTTCTCTCACATGACCAGTGTCTTGACAATGATGGCCCCACTGGTAACCTTTCTCCCTCACCTGAGAGTGTAAGGGTCTCTACAGCAGGTAATTGGAATTCTTACAGGATGGCTCAGGGCAAAGATCTAAGACAGAGAAAGTGGAAGCTACTAGAGTTAAGGGTAGGCAAACCCTCACAATGTCACTTCTGCTATATTCTCTTGGTCGTACACTCATAGAGTCTGCTCAGATTGTCAGGGAGGAATACCGAAGAATTTGTGGCCATTGTTAATTTGCTATAATCTACCCTTTGGTCATAAATTATTTTTACTACTCTCACATGCAAAATACTCCCATCTAAGATCACAAAACTCTTGTCCCATTACTTCACAGTTTGGCTAACTATGGCCCACCACCTGTATTCATAAAATTTTATTGGAATTCAGTCACTGATTTGCATATTGATTTGTCCATTGATTTGTATATTGTCTATGACTATTTTCATCCCACAACAGCGGAAGTGAGTAGTTCTGACAGACACCTGATGTCCTGCAAGTCTAAAATATTTACAATCTGGCCAACCATTGCTATCAACTTGAGGTTGAGGATTCCATCTCCTAATTAGGGCAAGGCACAGATGAGGCTCCTTGAGTGCAGGTCTGTGGGTCTGCTAGACTTAAGCTGCCTGTTCAGCCACCACTATTGTTACCTGCAGTTCTGCATTCCTATACAGGGTCAGAACTGCCCTTCAGAAACCAATCAGTCATAGGAGCCAAACCTTACAAGGTACCTTTCAAATCAATTAAGAGAAAGCTTGATCACCCTGGTATGACCTGGAAAGCCCGAGGTTGGGGGCAGGGGGGGCATAAACTTACTCATACATCATGAGGTATGACTGGGAACACTGGGGTGGGGAGGGGTGCAGGGGGGCGAGGAACGATGTATGACAAGGAACCCCAGAGCATGATCAGTGGAATGCCTTGTAGATAATATCAGAACCATGGCCAGGGTGCTGGGGTATGGTTTTAATTACAACACTTGGTCATCAAGCTGATAACAATTATCTGGTCAGCAGACTCATGTCCTCCAAGCCCTAGGTGACATTCTTTAGTTTCACCCATCTTTTTCTCCTTGTCCTCTTACACCATGTAACTGATGCTATATGATTATTCTAGCAATAAAAAAGGCCAGGATCTTGCTCGTTCAGCAGCATACTTCATTGTGCAGCCTGCTCCACAACTCCTGTTTCTTTATCAGTGTGGTGTTGCCCGACACAACACAGGCCCTTTAGTATCATTACTTTCTATATGAAGACCTATGAACTAAATAGATATATTATAATCCCCACCTGCCCCAATAAATTGTGATGGCTCATAGATAGGGTAACCCCATAAACACTCTCATTCAAAAAGGAATGAGAGCTACTTAACAGTGACTAGCCTATAGCAATTCTAAAATCCTAAGACCACGTTTTCCCAGTTCCTTGATTATGATTCAGTTCTGCTCTCTGGAAAAGTTTTTCCATGGTTCTTTGCTCTACTCTCTGGGTTTCTGGTTTTGCCAGAAGTATATCCTTCCTTTTCTATGTAAAGGTTTAAGCTAAGTAATTCTCAGCTTCCTATAAAAGGTTGGAATACAAAGATGTCTTTTCAATTTGAACTGTCTCTGTTCTTTTTAGTCCAAGCTAATAAAATTATTTTATAAAATTTTGGGGTTTGCAGGTATTAATTTATAAAATACTTTTATAAATAGGTATTTTATAAATTTCTTTTATAAAGCCACAAGATTTCCTTTTTAGGCCTTTCTCTAAGTTGTTATGGAATAATACCCTTAGGAATCTTCAAAATCATATCATTTAATTGATAAAGTCTATGAAACATAACTTCAGGGTTCTTATAAGTTCTCCAAGGTGCACCCTTAAATATTTCTGAGGTCTTAATAAATGGTCTTATACCCATGCCTTGAAATCTTTACCCTAAAGTCAGGATTTATTGATGACACCCTAGTTTTGATTTTTGCTTTGAAGATATTCCCTTGGGAATATTTTGCTGGAAGAGACTGGAGATATGAAATAATTTATTTTCAAACCAAGCAAATCTTGTTTTTTTATATTTTCTCTAAATTATTTTTTCTCAGAAAAAAAGAAAGGAAAATTAACACCCTCTCAGCAAAGCCACAGATGCTGTGGCAGTCAAGCCTCTCTGCAGATGGGGTTAGTCCATTAGTCAATCAAATCACTCTCTGGGTCAGCAGGATTATAGTCTGGATCATCCTCATCATCTTCCAGCTCCAAGTCATCCATTTCCTGGAACAGAGACTCTTCTACCTCCACATTGTTTCCAGCATCCTCCAAAAACTAGATATCAGATGTGTCAAGATTATGATCTGTTTCAAATAGCTGTTTCCCACTTAATTTATTTTTTTCCTGCTTGTTTTTCTTCTTTCATTTGTTTCTTTTTTATTTCTAAGAGTTCTGCATCAAACTTGGCTTTCCAACTTAAGAAATTCTCAATTGTAACAGGAGTGCCATGAAAGAATTGCTTTTCGGCTTCTTCTGCTTTTTCTTTTTGTTTCTTTTCTTCTTCTCTTCTAGTTTTTATTTGATCGACTATTTCATTTAATTTTTCTTGCACAGCTGTCACTAAAGTAAAAATCATCACCATACCAAGATTTTCTTCTGCCTGCAATGCTAATAATTTTAAAATATCTCAGACATCATTATCTTCTAGATTTTCCTGGGAGAATATTTCATAAAGAGGAGCTTCATCTGGGTATTTTTCACTGTATGTAAACTTGAGGGTAGTCTGGACAGTTTCATCATTTTCCCCAGCCTCAGATGTCACAGTAATGGTGAAGCTGTGTGGACTTTCTGATAATATTGTCTGGTGAAAGCTCCCGGTCAGGCATTCACCACGGACACCTAGGGCCGGTGCCCGAGAGTCTGAGAAGCCCCTGAGCGTGGCATCCACGCTCGATGTTTCTGGGCTGAGGGCCGGCCTCTCCAGCTTGGGCTGGACCGTGTCTCTGGCCCTTAAAAGATCTTTTTAAAGTTCAACTATCTTTTCTAGTATGTTGTCTTTGGCATCTGGAAGCAAGTTGGCATCTTCCACATTCTGCCTGACAACCTCCCATCCAGTTTATTAGGTGTCTTTTCTATTTTCCGCATAGCTACAGATGTCAGCATTGCCAAACTTTGCAGCACTGCAGAGAAATATCTCCCTTACCTCCTTCAAACCCTTACTTGTTGCCTGGCTCCAGAACCAAAGGCATATATTTTACATTTATGTTGGACAGCATTCCATTTCCAGATACTAAATTCTTAGGTAGCTTATATAGCTAATGTATGGTCACTGATATCACAACTGATATACTCTCTGTGGCACACACAAAAATTTTAAAATACCCTTTCTTATTCTCTTTTGGGTCTCCCACTACAATGACCATGTGTTTTGAATATTCTACCAGCATTAAGATTTGTATGTTAAAGAATCCCTAAATTAAATAAAATTGTTTACTCTTATTTCCTAGGATTGCTTTCTTCAATCTCTTTTAATGCTACAACATAACAGGAAACAATTGAAAGAGAAAATCAAAAGGCAATTAACTATAAGGACAAGAGAAAGATCACTGTCCTCTTTATCTTTGATCTATTGTACATAATACTTTAAGAAGTTCTTGGTAGGTAAGTACATCATGATTAATAACTATAGCATGGACTCTTGCATTTTTGTTATTTTTGTACTCTGTTCTTCACACATATTTCAAGCTAACAGATGGGCAAGGTTGAGAAATTAGCAGGAAAATGTGGTTTCTGGCTTGCAAATACTGTTTTATCTAAACAAGTTTTTGTTTAACTTAATGGTTGACCAATAGTTAAGACTGATGGTTTTGGTCTTAATTCACTACCACCATTTTTCTGAGCTCTATTAGGACAACTGTTTCTCAGGGAAGGTGTAGGGAAGGAGTGCTAGGGAGGAAAAAAGTAGAAGGAAGTAATAGGGGTGCACATCACAAACAATATAACCTGTAAATTTTTGAAAATAAACACCCCTAGATATCCCAGTAGGAATCATTAGACTAAGGAGGTTATTTCTTTTACAAGGATGTTTCATACTTTGGTAGATAGCAATATCTTCTCAATATCTAGGCATTTGCTTCTATTTGAGCAGACATTTCCACTCAAATTTTTGTTTTCAGCTCATGGTTGGACACTGAATTTGTGGTGAGAAGAACTTTCTAGTACAGAACTTGAACAAGTTACTTCTACCTCTTTGAGGACCTCATTTAGTACTAATCATTCCTATCTTACAGAAGAATTTCAAATATTACAATGGATATGAAAGATCTAAAAACTATAGAGGCTAGAGGGTCCTTTCAAAAGGTCTTTGGAAGGCTTTCCTGTGAATGAAGGATTATCTATGTTGTCTTTGTTTCCGCAGGTATCACAATTCAAAAGGAAAACACATCAATTTCACTTCAAGCTGCAGCCCCCAGGGTAAGCATTCAGCAACTCCTCATTAAGGTATTAAACCATCATGAGAGACTTCGAAGGGTCTCAAAATCCACTCAGGCTACAGTTAGCTGTTCTTTCTCATCCAGGGTATAAATGAGTTGAGTTGGAGGCTTAAAGGTAATTATTTCTATAAGATACTTTGTATATTTTAAGTCTCCCTTCACCTAATGATACTGGTTAGGAGTAAGGAGGGTGTTTTTCTCTCTTCTCAAGTCTAAAGAGAGGAGCTTCAATAGATCCCAGTGGAGAGCTAGACATTTTTCTGTTACAGATGGTATCTACTTGTTCCTGAAACATATCTACTAGGTTAAGACAAGGCTTATCTGGGTATGACTGTTGAGAGCAGAGTGATAGATAGAGTGGCATAAAATTCTCAAAAATTAGGATTTTCATGCTATTTGACTGGATTGTCACATCTGTCTACCCAGAGTTTGTCTAGTAAAGGATGCAGAAGTATTTCCTCCAGGCTGAATGAAGTCACACATTGAGGAATCAGAAAGTTGTCTTGGACTTTGCTTTGTCACAAAAGGAAGAGCTAAGTTGCTCTTTCAACTGCATAGAGGCTTAGGGGCCAGTAGCAAGTGATTAGCTTTCACCGTGATGAAAACTACAAGTAAGAGATCCAGTAATGGTGAGCTGCAAAGGGCCTTCAAAGTGAGAGAAGAATCCTAATTTAAACATCTGCCAAGCACATTCAGCATCAAAATTATATTACCAATATCTGGAGAAGCAGAGGTAGCCTAGAGAGTAACTGAAAGGAGAAATGCCAGGTGGTGAAAAAGAAATGACAACAGCCTCCTTTCCCACTACAGACTTCCGGTTTGAAGCAGGACAAAATATCAACAGGGATTAGACGTAGGGGAAGAGAAAAGTGTTGTTGTTGTTTTTTTTTTTTAAAGATTTATTAATTTATGCATACAAGAACTGGGCTACAGGCCAGAGGTACAGGGGTGTGAGAGGATTCACCAGAGACAGAGTAGGGAGCAGAACAGTCATATGGACTGAAATATACTGCTGAGGGGAGCAGCAGGAGAGACAGGAGAGGTCTGCTGCACCATGTGGTCAGCTCCCTGGTCAGGGATTGAACTTGTGCTGCAGTGGCTGCGGATAGCCTCCTAGTGCAAAGACTTAATCCCTTGTATCACCAGGGAGGCCCCCAAGTTTTAACTCTAAACGAAGTTGTAAACTTATTTTTATTATATGGGTATATATACTATACATATATATGTATGTATTAGAATTTGTAATATATATTTTATAAAATACACATTATAATAAAATAGACTATCATGCAAAATATAAGAATATCATGTATAATATAATGTAGGTGTATATATCATATATACATATAACATAACATGTATGTTATGTATCCACACATGCACATATAAAGCCATATGAGAATAAAGAGAAAAGCGGAATTTCCAAGTGTTTTCAGGAGCAGTAAATGACAAGGAGACAAGGAGCACCTCTCAGAGCAGGCTTAAAAGAGTCATGGGGAAAATAGTTAATGTCTGCGGCAGCTTGGTAACATTACCTGTTTAATATAATAATGATTGCACGGAGGGCAATGTTAGGGACTGTGAAAGAAGGTGCAGTCTAATTACTAAAAAGAGATTTGTAACCATGAGGGCTGTCCACAAATGGTTTCCAAAAGAAAAGCTTTCTTTTGACTAAATTATAGAAACTGATGATGGGTACATAATTAGGGCTAAATAAAATATGCCATGTTAGAGGTCTGTTCTCTACCAGTGCCTGTCAGTTCTTTTTCCTTCCCTTATTTTGTAGGATACTGTTAGTTGAGGTAAAGTAAAGTGCTAAGTTATTCCACATTGTTTTCTGGTCCCACCTCAATAAAAACATCTTGTTTTAGCTACTGAAGTGTTTCCCTAGCTTTCACAAATGTAGGCAAAATTTGGGAGTTATCTCTCATTTCATAAAACCCACTAACTCTTTGAGGGAGCGAACTCAGCCATGGATAATGAGGGCAGAACCTTCTCCCATGCCGTGGACCACATTTCAATTCCCAGTGATCATCTTGATTAATGCTCGACTAACACACATAGACAGTGGACATGATGGACTTCTCATTTGGCAAAATTTCCCAGAATCAGTGTCAAGGCAACAGTCTAACATACTCATTGGAACCAGAAACTGCAAACAAATTCTATAGGAAATACCTTTCAAAACCTGTGAGTAGTCTCTTATTTTGAAAACTCTTCTCTGTTGCTATTTGCAGACAGTGAATACTGCAAAAGGTTTTCTAGCTGAACTCAGCTGATTATTTGTAAAAAAGTCAAGGAGTAGAAAAAGAGATGCAGAATTATTTTCCTTTTTTTGGATGATCCTGAGCTTTCTGGAAATGGTCTTGGGGCTTTTCCTTTAATTACATGCTGGCTTTTCTTAAATGAAGGGGAAGTTGTGCTGATGTTAAAAATCGATATGGACACCACAATTTCTTCTAAAGTCTTCTTAGCCTCTGGGGTTGCAGTTTATTAATGTGGCTATTTTTTTTAAAAAGGGAAATCCAGGCAAATTGTTATTCCTTAGTTTGAAATAACTCACTCTGACTAATTTTCTTAAAGTGAACATAGGTTTGACCTACTCTCTATCGTCTTTTCATAAAAATACTCAACTTTAGTAGGTTCAGTTTTAGAGCATCTGTCCAGTCCACGACCTTCCTGAGTATGGCAGTATCACTGCCCACCCATGATGTTTGTACAGTATTCTCCTTCCATCACAGCAGATTAGACTAGGGCAAACTTTGGAGCCCAGGTCAAGTTAGTCATTTTATTGGATTTTGGAATTGGATTTATAATCACAGGAAAATGAACCTTCTCAAGAACTCATCATCAGCCAATGTTGATACCCATTGATGGAGCTAGGGTTCCTCTAGAAGATGTCATCTCCTGTCATCGTAACAGGAGCCAGACAGATGAAGATTAAAATCTCACATCTCCTAGTGACTGGTTACATGATTTGTGGCAAGTCACTTAACATCTCTAAAAGATTCAATTCAATGGAAATGAGATGTTATCTTCAATTCTATATTAACCAGATTTGAGAACAAAATCTGTAATCACAGTTAAGGCAACTCTGGATTATCTAGCAATGTTATGTTTGTAGATTGAGGCTGACCCACTGCCATAGCACCAATATGTTTTCCTGTTGTTAGCAGGTTGATGGTCAATTCTCTGAAGGTCACATTTCCCAGTCTCCCTTCTAATAAGCACATTACTTTCTTATATAGTCCACGCTATGAGCCAGGTACAGTTTCAAGTAGTTTACATACTTAATGCTCATAAATAGTACGAGATGTGTTAATATTCATAAGAACCCCCGAGACGGGGCATATTGCTAACTCACTTTATAGATGAAGAAATTGAGGGGCTTCCCAGTGGCGCAGCAGTTGAGCGCTGGGTTGCGAAGCTGCCCGCAACCTCTGCAGCGCTGGTTCAATCCCCATGTGAGGGTCCTACATGTCGCGCAGACCTCTCCTGCCGCCCGCTGCTCCCCTCAGCAGTGTACTTCGTCCATCTGCCTGTTCTGCTCCCTGCTCTGACTCTGGTGAATTCTCTCACCCTCCCACGCTTCTGACTATACCCAGTTCTTGTATAAATAAATAAATAAATAAATAAATAAATAAATAAATCTTTAAAAAAAAAAAAATAGATGAAGAACAGTCCGAGAACAGTGCAGAGACGAGAAGATGCAAGATTCAAAGCCAAGCAGTGTGGATCTGTAGCCTGTGTCTTCATCTGTGTATTATGTTGATGCCATAGCAGAATAATAGGTACCTCATATCTTCTCCCTTCCAATGAGACACAGATACAGTAATACCTGAGTCTACAGAGAAGAGGGGAAGACAAGAATCCTCTAGATTACCCAAAGACAGAAAATGAGTTGTGTTTTAATGTTTTTCTATATTTAAAAATGTAACCCACACTTAATGTGAAGAATGTGAAAAAAGACAAAATCTAAGAGAGCAATGGGCAAAAGACATCTTTGGCTTTTCCTCTTCTCTATATTGTCCATACCCTCTATCAGCGTAGACGCACAATGAAAGCAGGAGTCTTGATTATCTTATTCTCTGTTATATCTCCAAAGCATAGTCAAGAACCTGATACATATTAGGCCCATAGATAATATATGTTGAATGGAAAAATAACTTCTAGCCCTGTCGCACTGTGATCATAGAATATGAGTGGTCCAATTCTGTTTTCTGAAAGTAATTGAGATTTTTCTAAGTGCTTTATTACATAATCTTATTTAAAAGGTTCTAACATGACAGAAAAATCCTGTAGATTACAAAGTGTAGTGTATGTCTCTTAAAACAACCTTATTAATCAATTCAGATTTTTTCTTATTTAGGTTTTAAATATATGCATTTACTTATTTCCCCCCAAATTGGGAACTGTATTTAAATTCACCCTATAAAATATAAAAGTTCTTGTGTCCCCCTCCCCCCACCAATTTACATTCAGCTAGTATACATTAAGTTCTCACTATGTTTCAGGTCTTGTACTAGGCACTGCCCATAGAGTGGTAAACAACAACAGAAAAGTCTTGGACGTGCTTTAGTTGGGAGAGATGGGTATCAAACATAAATCAGCACAAAAATCATTATCAGTGACAGGAAGGATGAGGAAAGAAGGAAAATGAGTCACTTTCTAGGCAAGAAAGTAGGGGTTTTAGGATTTGAGGGAAGGGTGGGTAGCAGTGAACTTCACCCATATGGAAACTGAGCTGGGAAAAAGTTTGGCATCTTGGAATAACTTAAGAGACCTTTTATAATATATATTTGTAGTATATCTTTCACCATTCTAAAATGAAGTTCACATATACTTTATATATATGTGTGTATGCGTGTATGTATATATATATATGTGTATGTGTGTGTGTTTGTGTGTGTGTTTTTAAAAACCAATTTTGTACCCTAACTGGAATATAAAAGAAAAACCAAAGGAAATAAGCTAATTATAAATTAGTAAGAAT